CATCACCGTGTGAGAAATTAGTTTGAACAACTTTAATTTGGGGGCAAATTAAAGTGTGGTTGACTTGTGTTTGTTTATATTGATTCAACACAACAACACCGGTTGTGTTGAATCAATGACGGTGAGATTACACGGTGTAATTGTGTAATCAATGCCAGAGAGTCAGTCACAACTAAAAGTTGCACCTCAGACTCACAGACCTGTAAACAGATGCACTTGACAAGCGCTTCTGAGAGACGCGCTGGAAACGTCTAGAGCATGTGTTTCTGTAAGCAGACAGCGGATGTGCAGACGTTAAAGTTTGTTTGGATGATTTACGGCTCCGATAACAGCAGGGACATAATGACGATGAGATTGCACAGATGGATTCAGCACAGTTTACCCTGACGCCCGACCGAGGAGCTCTCCACAGGGCCGTATGGCTTCAATCTGATTTATAGCAAGCTCTCAAAGGGAGTGGCACTCCATTTATTTTTGACTCAACTTTAAGATGTCTCTGTTCAGATTGGGACTCAAGTTTTTACGCAAGAGCCCTTCACTACCAAGCATAAAATGTACAGTATATCCTTTATTTTAACAATTTGGATTCTTATTATTTAGAAATTCTCTTGGTTATTTTCATTTATCCTTACTATATATATATAACATACATAATATACATAAATATTCAATTACATTTTATGGGATACACTCTTAAAAACAAAGGCACTTTATTGGCTTCTATGGTTCCATGAGGAACCTTTAATATCCATGGAACCTTTCCATTCCACAAAATGTTCTTTATATCATTAAAATGTTCTTCACATTAAGAAAAAACTGTTCTTTTAAGAACTGCACACTGAAAGGTTCTTTGGGGAACCAAAAATGCTGCTTCTATGGAATTAAATGCGAAAACAATGCGGAAAGGCCATAGTTCACCCAAAAATGAAATTTCTGTCATCATTTACTCAGCCTCATTTTCTTTCTTTCTTTCTTCTACAGAACACAAAAGAAAATAGTTTGAAGAATATTAACTGAATAGTTTTTGTTACCATTGATTTTCACTGAATGGACAAAATAAACAAATTAAACATGTCTCAAAATACCTTTTTTATGTTCCACAGAATAAAGAAGGTCATACAAGTTTGGAAAAACATGAAGGTGAGTATAATTATAGAATTCTCAATTTTGGAAGAACTATTCCTTTAAGCATCTGTCAGAAGCTTTTACTCAAGCAACTTGTAATTATGAACTTAAGCTAAACGAACAATTCTGCGAAGGTTGCCACAATCAGTTGTGCAGATCACCTCTAATAGTTGGTGTGTGGTACATATAGTTTGAGGTTATGTAATTATACTCACGTGAATAGTGCGTTGCTATGAAGTACACAAGACGTCATTTGCATTTGCATTAATCTGTCCCTGTAACAAGTGCTTGCAGGAGTCAAATTTGACTGATCATGGGTCGAGAGGAGGGATGACCTACAACACCATGGTGGAGGATTTGCTACTCAATGGATCCGGAGCTCATTGACAAATATCTTATATCGTAAGATGCGCTCCCTTTACACAGAGTGCTCGTGATCGCGAAATCGAAAGTGAAAGTGAACAGCGCGAGCGCTCATTCAAAAGAGATTTAAATAGCCTACTCCCCATTGATAGCGGCTCCCTGATAAGCGAAAATTATGCGCAATATTAGAATGTTTGCGGGAGCGGGCGGGACTGGAAAAACCTTGCAGGAGTGGAACGCACACGTTGTCACTGTTTAAGTTCAGAGGTAAGAAGACTGCTATCTAGCGGTCGGGATATAAACTCAAAACGAAACAAAGGCCATGAATCTTGTATAAATTTTTTTTTAAATATCGATATTTCATTTTTGAGAATCAATACAGTATCACCAAACAAAATATTGCGATACTCCGGTGTATCTATATTTTCTTACACCCCTACTTAAGACAACCTGTTCATCTTGTGTGTGTGTTTCAATGTCTTTTGCTAATTTACATCATTACTTTGCTTTTTAAATATTTCTCCACTCATCTCTCTCTGCAATTTACAGTTTAATTGATGACTTTTGCGAACGCATGAGACTGTGATTACAAGTTTTGAGGTTTCAACATTTGTTTTTGCGGTCTCTCTGCTCAGATCAAATGGAGGCATGTGTGGAATTCTCAGTAAAGGAAAATTGGGGTTGCATAAATATGGATTTTTAATCGCCTACTAGTGTTTATTTTTCCACGCATCTCTCTATTTGATGTGCCGTCCCAGATGTGCGTAACGTCTTACTCGCTTTAAAGGCCCGAAGAGCAGCAGCAATTCAGAGCAACTTCTCGCCCCCTCCAACCCATGATTAAGAGTAATGGCACCCTTTAAGATTTGCATGGTGATGTTAACTAAGCATGGTTGTTGAAATATAATTGACTTTTCTCATGGACTCCAAAGACAAACAAAGACCCTAAAGGGGGTCCAAGAGTGAGCGGCATTAAAAAAAATGGGCCAAGCAAGCTCCATCCATACTGATGAATAAGCATTGGAATTTAGAGCTGGAGGCAACGTTCACCGTTTTCTTTTACTTTTTTGCCTCTTTTCTCCCTTTTTAGTCTCGCTCTTTGTGACCACAGCCACATTTATTAATGGTCACTAAGATGTCAGCCATAGCCTTTACACATCAGTCACCGAGGGCTGTCTTATTTATTTTTACCATTGTTCTCGCCTCTTCTCGTCTTTGTTTTTTCCTCTTTTCTTGTGTCAGGTGTTTAAGCAGGCTGTCAGTTTTATAGGGCCTGGTGAATGGGGTTGATAGGGGAGACTCTCAAAGGACTGCATGTGACCCATCTGCCCACAACACCCTCGCACACACCCTCTCCCTTTTGTGCTCTTGTTTTTGTTTGTCTGGGAGAGCCGAGTGAAAGACAAACTTTACTAGGAGGTTACAGATCACCATCCCTATAACAATGCTAGGTAGATTACACTCCCTAAATGATTTTGAATTAGAAAGCTTAGTACACTGGGAGACCCGTGAGGGAAAAACACCAGTACTAGCATATGCCATATATGAGAACTCGCAGTGATACTAACCTGACGTGACTGAAAGCTGAAATAGCTTGAGCGCTCAGATTCTGTCACTCAAACGAGGATACCTGTACGCTCTATGCTATTTTACACTCCGGACACACTGTGTCACGGTAAAATAATCGTCGCTCTGTACTACATGCTGGTCGGGTGGCCGATGTGGTGGTAGATGTGTGGAAGAGACAGGGATTGTTGTGAAGTGAGTGAGCGAAGGGGCTTTCGTGCTTCAGCAGACATATTTGCTTAGAGCTGATTAACTGCACCCCAGAGAGGAAGAGCTAGTGCTCTGGCTACTAAGCTTCAGAGTGCGTGTGTGTTATACAACTTAGAATAACAATAGTAATTGTGTATAAATAGATACGTTGAAATGTATTTAGCTTTGATGAATCATTGCAGCTATTTAGACAAGACATGTTAACTACAAACTACACTATCACTACAACTTATCTATTATAACATCAGCAACAATGATCTAGATTAGTGATTCTTAACTGGTGGCTCACAGTTCTAATTGGTTCGTGGATATGAAAAATAATGATAATGTTAATAAGTTAGGACAAAAAAAAATAAAATAAATAAATTGCCTCATCAACTTTTACATTCACTTTTACATTTATGCATTTAGCAGACACTTATCCAAAGACACTCACGTTGCATTCTGGGAATCCAACTCATGGCTAGCACTTTGCTCTACTGTTAGAGCTACAAGAACACCAAAAAAGGGAGGAGCTTTAAAAATAAGGGAGAAAAAGTTTCTTACAGCTTTTGACGACATCAAAGGTTGTTGTCCAATCAACAAAAAGTATTTTGACACAATTGTATCTGTCTAATTGATGTAATTCAATATTTATATGCTAAAACAAGTTTATATACACCACCGTTCAAGAGGTCTTTTTTTTTTTTTTGCAAGAAAGAAAGAAAGAAATGCATTCATTCAGCAAGGATGCATTAAATGGATCAAAAGTTAAAGTAAAGACATAAGTTTGATAAGTTTGAGTTCTATTTCAAAATGCTGTTCTTTTGAGCTTTTTATTCATTAAAGAACCATGGAAAAACTATCACCGTTCACACAAAATATTAAGCAGCACAACTGTTTTCAACAAAATAATAAGAAATGTTCCCTGAGCACCCAATCAGTATATTAGAATGATTTCTAAACGATCGACACTGAAGTTATAACTGCTGAAAATGTAACTTTGTCATCAAAGAAATAAATGACATTTTAAAATAAATTAAAACAGGAAACTGTTATTTTACATTTTAATAATATTTCACAATATTTAATTTTTTATCAAATAAATGCATCTTTGGTAAGCATAAGAGACTTGTTATGAGTAAAATATTACCAACCACAAACTAGTTTTACTATTCAGTCATTATGTCATGTTAATCACATACTGTATTGTTGGGCCAGTGCACCTCATGGTAATATGAACACATTTCAGATTTCATTTTATAGACAACTTTGTTAACATTTACAGTATATAATAAACATCACTGTTACTGTATTGGCTTGCAACTCAATGTCCAATGTAAAATATAGATCCTGAAACCAAACCAGCTCAGAACCACTGATCTTGATGAGATCTAGACCACGCCAACTCAAAGCTCACCTGAACGCTTAGAAAACAGTAAAATGATGGGGTTTTCCATCACTAGGGGTAACAGCACCTCTTTGTGATGTCATTAAAGCTGTTTAAGTCTGCAGTCTTACCCCGAGTTGTTTAGAACAAAGCACAACCTGTATACGACAGCTTTTGCCAAAAGCACCTCCCACACAATGGCCCTTGAGGAGGGACCCCCTGTAGCAGAGACCTCAGTGCCCAGACCACTCAGCTTCTTTTCCTGCAATTTTCCACCCATGTGGCAGCCCCAGGCCCCTGAGTGACAGTAACTTCATTAGATGCCTCTTTAACCTGGCCCTTCTCCATCTCATTTTCTCAGAAGTACCTTTAAGGGGTTGACGGGGTTACTCAGGCACTGGCTGTTTTGGCATAGACCCCCAGAAATGATGTGCCATGATGAGGTATGCAGTATGTCACTGCTCAGCAAACTGACCGGAGACAAGCTGCTACATTATAACTGCATCCTGTGAATTACACAAACACATGACACCAGGACAGGTTAAACAATTTAGAAGAATGAGTAGCCATAATGACTGGTAAGGTACTGTGCAGTACTGTATATACACTGTTAAAATATACTGTTACTATAATACACTTTTAAAATATACTGTTACGGTCTTGAAATTAATAATAAAATTAATAAATCTTGAAATTAAATAGCACTGAAGTGCATTACAATCATTACAAGTCGTCAAACTCTGAATTTACAAAGATACTCTTTATTTAACTATTAGACATAATTTTAATATATTGCTTTATATCTCACAACTGTGATTTAATTATATATATTTGGGACCTGCATATCTCACATTGTGACTTTATATTATTGATTCAATGATACTATAAATAGTGTCAGATAACCGGATGATATAAAAGTCTATACTAAGTTTATTATTATATTTAAGTATATAGTACATAAATCAGGGATGTCCAATCCTGGTCCTGGAGGGCCAATGCCCTGCAGATTTTAGCTCCAGCTTGTTCTAAAATAGCTGCCTGGAAGACTCTAGCAATTCTGAAGACCTTGATTACCTTGGTTCAGGTGTGTTTAATTGGGGTTGGAGCTAAACGCTACAGGATTGTGGCCCTCAAGGACCAGGATAGGACACCACTGACATAAACGCTATAATATAAACACTAAAAAACTCTATTTTAAATGCTACAAGTTAATTTAGGCATCACAACACAATGTACCGTATGAAAACTGATATTTATGTGATATTTGCTTAAGAATACAATTATTAACGTAAATTATTAGTCTCTTAAAGAATAACTTGCATGCGATATAGATAAAAAAAATTGCCCATAACTGATATCAATACTAATATATTAATTATCCCTACTTTATATCTCACAGTGTGTTTATATTTCTCAATTGCAACTTTGTTTATCATAATCACAACTTTCAATGTGACTTCATATCTTGCAAATGCAATTTAATTTCTCATAATATCAAATGTAACAAGAAATGAAGTTACAATTTGAGATATCTAACAAATTACCTTTCTCATTTTTTACTCTGAAGTGGAAATAGGCTTCCAAACAAGACAGATTTTTAAAGTCACTGAAATAAAACTTTGAATAGTTGGAAATTATCATTGCTGGGGCAGAAATAATCTAGCCTATGATTCATCAAATAACTGCATACTTGTATACGTCAATAAACAAGAGCAGCATGTGTTTAATATCAATGCAGGAGTTAAAACAAACATTAATCCAAGGTGATGCTATACTACTGATAAATGTTACACATAATTACTCATAACATTACTCATAAAAGGCATTACAACTGCCAATAGAGAGATAATACTGTACTTACAGCCTGACATCTTTCAAAAAAATCAAATCTAAATCACAAGCAACGTCTTTTCGTGCCATAAAATGTGTCTTTAAAAGGAAGCTGCTGGCTGAATGATTCCTTTTGTGCCAGGCAGCGAGCCAAGCCTACAAAGTATTGGATGAAACGTGTGTATTTGTAATTCGTAATAAACCTTAAAGTGTGTAGTTTAAAAAATCATGCTGCGATCCTTGTTGCTGATGAGCGGTGTGCATGTATTATTGCATTTGGCCTCAGCACAGAACAGAATGCGAGTCTACTACTGAATAATGGCTGAGTCCACTATGACACTGAGACGCTAATGAGCATGTAGCTTCAGGCGTAGTTAGAAATGCTGTCTGCCACTGAGAAAGTCACACAAATCCCAGCAGTAAAACGAAACAGCTGCATCATATCAGAGCGTTTAGCAGAGCCCACAAGTGCACTGCATTGCGAGGAGCATCTGTTAAACTGCGCTATTAGCAACTGCCTCTTACAGAGCTGTAGATCAATAAACCACAAGTATAAGTACATTTAACAGGCAATATTTTAAAAGGCTGTAGAGAGCTTGACCTGCCAAACTCACATCCTTAATGAAGAGCTCTCGACACACCCAAACGCTCCACCACTTTCCCTTTAGAGCACCTATCTGTGAAGTTCCCCGAGCATAGACGCCTTGCAGACCCTTCAATGATGCCAACGTCAAAGAGGGGCTTGTCATTACCTCCCCTCATTCACATTTGTCCACTCAAACGTGGCAGAGGAAAAAAGGCACAGATGTTAATCTCTCTCTTATCCCCTCCTTTTTATTAAGGGAGATTAAAAAGAATATAGTGCAATTTGGATGAAGGCCAAGGCAGACTAGATGTGCAAAGTATTTCTGGATTATTTCCACTTAGTACAGGCGGGGGCTGAAAGGACGGCTGTCTTGTTAGCTGGTGTGTCACTGAAGACTTCACAAGCCAGTTGGTCAACCTGAATCACAATAAACGCTGCTTGTGCCATGACAAAATTCCCATGGAGGTTGATTTGCACGAATGCACGGCTCAAGTTATATATGATGATTTGCGATGAAAAGTTCGGGTAACAACTTCTTCCGAGGGTTTGGTTGCTAGAGACCTCAGTCCTGCCTTTCATGTTTTTGGTTAAAAGAAGTAGAAGTGGAAGCGTACCGAGGCTAAAAAGGACTGCTTCTATTTGTTAATCTCTTTCTCTATCTTTTCATATGGCCAGACCTTCCTTTTTTGATTCCTTTCACCTCAAAAGAAAGAGAAAAAAGTTAGTCAGTCCCCTGTTCCTTTTGTTCTGCTCTTTCTTCTCCACGCTCTTTATACTTTTATCCTAATCCCAAACATGCATGAGTGATCAGTTGTGTCCTGTTGTTTCACTGTTCTGCTAGTTTTCAATCGGTAGGGTTCCATCTTTGTTCCCTTTCAGAGAGAAACACATAGAAAGGTAAAAAGAGGGAAGGGTAATGAAACCTCCTCCACAGACTTACTCCTTTGTCTTCTTGATCAGGTTTATTTTGCTTTTTCTTTTGGAGATATAACTGACTGTAATTAGGAGAGATCGGTGCTGTGATGATGTGTTCTTTGCCAGCTCTTAGTCTTTGGAGAGGGATAGAAATGCCTCATCAAAGCCGACTGATGAAGTCCAGCGGTCACAGAGCCGGAGCAGGTTTTGATGTATGAATTCGATATAAAGATCATCAGATGTCAGGTCCAGTCCAGAGGCCGTACCTGACAGGTGAAGAATGCTCTCATCCAACATGAAGCAAACAGGCACGAGGACATCTAAAATTCTACCTGAAACATGAACAAGCTGCACCATGAGGGCCTGGGGGTTTGTTGATAGCTGTTTGGATGTTTGGTTTCTGTTTTCCCAGCAGTCAAACTGGGGTTTTGATCCCTGGACACTTTGGGAATATATAGAAAGAACTGAATTCTAGCTATTTAATAAAAAAACGGATGTAATGATATCCTCAAATCATGGAGAGCACTATACAATGTTCTATGTGGAAAAAAAATGTGTGCTGTTTTTGCTGTGTGCATATAGGTATCAATGATGTAACAATCTCTTTTTTGTTGTATTTATTTTTAAAAAAATACACAATTGACCACTTTGGTATAGAGAAAGACTGCAATAAAATTGTAAACTTAAAAAAAAAAATTTTTACATTCTTGAAGAGTTTGTCATTATATAGTAGTATTATTATTATAGAAATAAATATTTTAACAAAACTAAGTAATATTTGAAAAAATGTGGTCCAACTAACATGCAAGCACCTGCATAAAAAAAATGACAGACAACAGGAAATTATATCATAGAGATGAGCCCTGCAGTCTCTTATGACTGTGTCGAGGTCAATAAGTCTTTTAAAATATCAGATAGTTTGACCTTTTTATGACAAGGCAAAGTTAGTTCAGAATGTAAAATGTGGTGCAACTCCCCCAAAAAATTTAAGATATTTTTTTTTCAAAATAATTTAATGTTTGTAAAATACTTTTTACCTTGAAAAATATATGTAAAAACATATGAATTATTAAACAAAAATAATGAAGATATGTACGCTAGTACAAGGTGTACATTTTTAAGAACTTGACACTTGAGTTTTAAACTAGATTTCCTTTTCTTTATACTGATCACATTATACAACATTGACCCATATACCTCTGAATCCGGAGTCGTTTGTGCTTCATTTCTTTCTTCTCTATGCATGACTGTTATGAAATGCATAATAATTTGATTCTCTGCTTCTCTGCAGAGTAAAGGCTCTGGTCAGTGTGTCCTCTGTTCAAAGGGACAGTCATTGTTGCAGACTGATCCCTCCTCTCTGTGGTTGTCGGGCCTAATTAAAACTATTCTGGGGGCGTGGGGTGAGCCGAGGGGGAGGGGCCGGCCAGCACTCCACAGGAAATTATGATCGCAAATGTCTTCCTGTCGAGTCCTGTGCTTGGCGCTATAAAGTGAGCCGAGCCGGCAGTACCTGAAAGGGCTGGAATCCGAGCAGACATCCACATCATCCCAGTCCATAGTCCAGCAGGGTCGCACACAAGTGGCCTTTGTGGCCGGCGAAAAACGGGATTAAGGAGGGGTCTTCAAGAGAATTGATTTTCTGTAGAGAACAATGAGCGGGTGAGAGGAGCTGGGGCCAGAGATCTGAATCACACAGCCTCAGTGCCCCATGAAAGGCCAAAACCGCACAACAACACTGAGATTAAAGCAATCAGGTTCTTTACCCCCTTACTGCTTCCCCGCTTTCCCCCCGCCCCTCGCCGCCACATTACACACTCGGCTCACAATAAGCAGAATAGGCCCAAGAGAAAAGGGATGAAACAGATTGTTTGCTTTTGCCTTCTCCTCCGGCCCTCCAAACGTTGCAAAGCTGCACTGAACAGGCTGGCGGATTTCGTTAAAGCAACAGCACGGCGTAAATGTAGCATCAGTCATTCTGGACGTGGCGGCAAAGAGGGCATGTCTTTTTCAGGACGACAATGTCAGGGTGAAGATGATGTGGTGTGGTGATGGGATCAAGGGTTACACATGAAAGAGGCAGGCTGCGCGGGTGCAGCTGTGCGTACCATTGTGGTCAATAATTTGCATGCATTTAGTCCAAGCCTGAAAACACTGAGTTGGCTGCTTTGAGAA